TCAGTATAGTCTGGGACTCTGGATCTAAGATTCCAGCCAGTTCCCTGCAGAAGGGGAGAGAAAGCAGAGAACCTATGACATGAAAGGTTGTTCTGTGTCCAACAGGGTAAGGCTTTGGGACACAGCCATAAAGCATGTCTGGGTTGCCACTGAAAGCCTATTGACTTTATTCAGGCCTGTGACAGTGACAGGCATGGCCATTCAACAAGCATTTTTGATCATCTTTTATGAATCTGTGAACATCTAAGTGTTCATAATATAGGCAAGGAAAAATCCATGAGCAATTTCATATAGAACAGAAGTAGAAGGGAACCAAATATCTGTGATCTATTTCCCTAACAAAACTTTGGAGGGAACTTTGTTCTTGGGCTTCTGAAAATGACTATTAACAGCAAAGACACTCAGGCGAAGAAAAGGCTAGGAGCTCCAGATCATCTCTGACTTCAGGTACCTGTATAATCTCTCTCTCTCTCTGAGCCCCAGAGTCTGGGAGTGGCTTCTCCCTGCCCTTCCTCAGGGAGTATGTGGTATAATAAGCCACCTGTCCATAGTGTGAAGCAACTGGGGTAGTGCAGCTCTGTGTGCTAAGAGATGGGGTATGGAAAACCACCATGTAGGGTGTTCATATGTCGCGAGAGGAAGAGGGAGGAGAGAGGAATGTGTGCGGGTCCCTCCAAACACTAAGGCCCATGGAGAAATGATCCAAGAGACTCAAGAAGGAAATCCGGTTCAGCATGACTTAGTTAGTGAGCACTGGTTCAAACATCTAGAGTCTGACACAAGGCAGTTTATTTTAGACATCTCTAAGTACAATACAATTTTGGAAAGAAGTTTTCTGCTAACAATTATCTTGATTCTATGTGTGCAATACAGCATAAGACATGATTACATCACAACTCTTTTCCAAATACATGCGATTTTTGCCATGAAGATGGGCTCTATAGCTTAAAGGCCCCTAGGTGTGATCTGGTGTGATCTCAGTCATACAGAGAACATAGAGGTCATGAGGCTATAAAACAACATCCATTGCCAGATAAATGAAAAAAAGGTATATACATTCCTTCTGTTGAAGAGAAAAACCTGTTGTGCTTCACATTCCTGGTTTCCCTAGTGCTTATTTGTGAGCACAAAGACCCTGTGCCCTCTACAGGAATGTGCCTGTGGAAACATTTTAATTGTCAGCATTCGATATCTATTTTGAGCCCATCTGGGAACATCTGCCTTGATATCTAGACCAAGCAAACATTTTAACATGTTGACTCATGTGAATCCAACATTGGGACTTGAAATGCCTAACAGGTGCTTCTCCATTTGAAGAAGGGTTAGTACAGTCTGCTAGAGGACCACAGCCTACCAACTTACAAAAGACACATATATGTTCTGCTACAGTATATGTTGTGTGTTAGCTAATGACCGTCTATGAGCTCTCCAGTTTGCAGCAGAAACATACTAATATTTGCATATTTAGAGTCCATTTGAAAATTGGTAGGAAAGGGCCAGGTGAATGTTTCAGTGGATAAAAGTGCTGTGCAAACATGACAGTCCGAGCTTGAATCCCTGGAACCCAGCTAAAAGCTGAATGCAGTTATCTGTCTCTGGAATCCATTATGCCTAAGGCAAGATGGGAGGAGAGACAGGTAGATTCCTGGAAGCTTAGAAGACAGCTAGCCAGCTAGCCTGGAGCATACAACACAGCAGAAAAACAACAACAACAAACTGTGCCTCAGCCTGGCACCGTGGCACATGCCTATAATCCCAGCACTGAGGGAGGTAGAGGCAGGTGGATCTCTGTGAGTTTGAGGCCAGTCTGGTCTACAAAGTGAGTCCAGGACAGCCAGAACTACACAGAGAAACCCTGTCTCAAAAAACTCAACCCCCTCCCAAAACAAAACAAAGCAAAACAAAAAAACCCAAACCACCCTGCCGCAAACAAAGTAGGATGTGAGGGCAAACACCCAAAGTTGTCTTCTCACCTCCACGCATGGTATGGCATGCATGCTTATGCCCTCATAAACAAGCATGCACACAAATTGATGGGTTATTTTTAAAAACTTTTTTAAAGTAAGATTCTTATTATTGCTGCCTGTTAGAAATCTTCTGCACATCCTTATAAAATTATTTATATTTTTAAACTAGTGATTCCTTGTGAATTTCACATGCATCCTAATCCCACTCATCTCCCTGTCCCTTTATAGCCACCCTCAGTCCTTGCAACTTTCCCCCTAAAAGAAAACAAAACAGAAAAAACAAACCAAACCAAAACATCTTGTCATGAAAGTTGTATTGTGTCAGTGTGTCCCACAGTATACCCTTTTGTCTACATATCTTTACTTGCAAATGTTTATTGTAATGAGTTGTTGGTCTGGTTTGAGGTCTTGGCTTCTGCTACACTATCAATACTGGCTCCTCACCAGCACTCCTCAAATATCCTGTTGTTGCCCTCTGTTGTGGAGATCCTGCAGCTTTGGATCTGCAGGACTGGCCCCTTCATGTGCTCCAGCAGGTCATCGATGGGGTAGATATTGGGGTGGGCCAACTGGAATTCTGAAGAAAACGCTTATCATAGGGCACTAAAAAGACCGTAGTGAGAGGACTCAGTTTTAACTTAGTTCTCCAGCCTGCCTGCTCTCCACATCCTCACTACCAGGGCAAGCTCTCTAGCACTGCCTCGCCTAGTTTACTCAGTGCTGCTGCCAGCAAGGACTGGAATCAGTTCTTCTGCTCCTACACCCTTAGGGCAGCTTCGCCTGTGCCTGCCACCAGGGTCAGCTTTACTATGCTACCCAGGTGAGATACTATGTTCTCCTGGGTGAGGGACAGGGCCAGCTTTCCCACCTGCCAGAAGTGGCAAGGGGCAAGGTGTTGGGGGGAAAGGGCATCTTTCCATTGCCTATGTCACTAAATGGCAGATGAGTGGCAGCTAGTCCAGGGACATCCGCACAGCTTTTGGTGATAATATGGGCCACACTATTGGCCACAGGCTCAGGCATGTCTCTCAGTGGCAGCATGGCCAGGACTTCACCATGGCCTCAGGTGGCATTGAGACTTCCTACTCACATCAGGTTATTCCTCTCCACCTTTGTCTCCAGTTCCACTCCATTTTCTGACTGGTGGTCATTCACTGAGGGGTTAGCTGGCATGACAGCTTAGCCAGGTGATAGAAGTGGCCTGGCTTGGAGTTGGGTTGTTTGCAGGGCCTGTGGCACCTGCATAGACATTACCACCTGTTATCCTCAGATTTTTTTCCTCAATTGCAGCTTGCTTCTTAGAAGTATGTGTTCAAGGGAGAGACTCAGGCCCCAGTTTTTATTTAACAACCTTGTGGAAGAGGCACAGGACCAGGAGCCTTGTAAGGAGTTTTAACATGGCATCCGAACCTTCCTCTCCACTTCAGGCTATGACACATGCTGACAAGGGTATGCTCTGAGGCGGCTGATTTTGATTATCTAACCTTTCCATACATCTCCCCTTGTGGTTAGAAAGGGAACCTGGCTGATAGGATGGGGGAAAATTATTCTGGAAAGGAAACCTGGCAGACATTCTTCTCCTCGCTTAAAGTGCTCTGAAAACCAGGCCAGTAGAGAATAATATATTTTTCAAAAATGAAATAAGAAATTCCTAGAAGAGCTTACATGTAAAAATGGTTTTAGAGCAAAATGTTCACGAGTGGTAGAGGCTCTGTAGGAGGGCAGTTGATGAATGGGGCTTATGATGAGGGTGACGCCCACAACCATACTGCAAATAAGGAAAAGGAGACCTAACCTTTACAAAGACATCAGAGCATGCATACGGGCTGAAGACCTACCTCCTTTCTTGCCTTTACTCTCAATGCAGGCAGCATATGACTGCATCAGCTCCAAAATGGGAAAACAATGGATGAATTCCCATTTTTTTCTTAAAGATTTGATTTTTCTGTATGTGTCTGGGTATAGGGCATGAAGGCCAGAAAAGGGCGTTAAATCCCCCAAAGCTGGACTTACCGGATGCTACAGTAATTAAATGTCCTCTTCAAGAGCAACAAACCTTAGTAACCTAATGAGTCAGTTAACCAATAAATTAACTCCAGTTTCCAAATTAATGTTTTGTTTCGTGTTTTTTAAAGACAGTAACTAACAAGAAGAAAAGAGTCATGCCAATTGTTTTTGAAGTTTGAGCTGGGCCTGGTGGCTAACTCATAAATCCCAGCATTTGAGAGGCTAACAAAAGAGGATTGCAGTTTTGAGGTAAGCCTGGGAGGACTACACATTTTAAAAATACATAAACGGTTTCCATTTGTGAAAGGCTCAATTTGTGGTCCCAAAGTTTCAAAGTGACACACTTAAAGTCACATTTCTCATATATTATGTGTTTTAGTAGAGTATAGCTAGAACACTCAGAAATACCTGTCATAATAATTAGCCATTCAAAGGGTATCTCTGTGTTGATGTGAAACTGTTCAGTTCTGCATCTCAAGCATCAGTGTGTAGACACATGCTTAACTTAAGCACTAGAGGACGTAAGTGAGTGTCTTGCACTGTCCTGGGAATGCATATTATAGGCCAAAAGAAAAGAACACTGTCTGCAGGACTGAGATGGCAGGCATCTCCTGAGCCACCCCTGGACACCGCTAACGGTGACATGTTCTGTGGTTCCCTCTTACCTTCCACCACATTTAAAAACACAATGATGTCATCTACCAACGGACCCCAAGTCAACGTGAGATACAAGGGAAATTTTAATGCATTAAAACACAGCACACAACATCGTTTCATTTTCAAAAGAAATTATGCAACTTTTAAAAGCTGTATAAATTATAGCAAAAACTTGGGGACACTGGTTTACCTAAGTTAAAAATATTTACTGCAAGCAGATTCCCTTTTTCCCATATTAAAAAGAAACCAAGACATTCTAAGACTGGAAGCTGGTTAGACCCATTCCTAAATCCACTATCAGATAAAGTACCAGAAAGAAATTAAGAAAGCAAAACTGGGAAAGAACAAAACCAAAAAAGGTCAAACTGATCCTTGGCATTTCTGTCTTTTATTAAGCACATAAAACTGCACTACTTAATATATTTCTCCATGAACTTTTTGTGAAATTCAGATCGCAGTGTATCATTTACAAATCTTTTGTCTTTCTTCTGGTCATCTATACCTTTTGCACAGTTCTTAAAAACGACGTCATCGTCCCACCTAAAGAGAAAAAGAAAATAAACCCATTATAACTCTATCAGGAGACAAGAATATGACGACTGTAAGGCATGATTAAAAGAAGGAACATGCCTACTGTGTGAGGCTGTCACAGTAGGAGCATACACTTCTACTCAAAGCACACACCCCCTCTTTAGTAGCTCTGAGTTACAAAGCAGACACACACAGTTTGTGCTTAGGTGAAGGTGTGATATTTTCAGGTCTAAAGCCAAGAGTCAGGGCCACCATCCTGACCCTGACTTCACCCACAGTAAGTGATCTGCGTACTCTGCTCTGTAAGGTTTCACACATTCTTCACTCAGCTATCTCCATCGTGGCACACATCACAGCACCACAAAAGAAGGAAGTGCAGGAATGTAACAGTCATGATTTGTAGATTGACCAAAGTCTACACTAATAATAAAGAAATGCCTGCTGAAGAGCTCAGAGTAGAACTTGGTTAAACTTCAGAAAGCACTGAACACACCCACAGGCAGGAAACACACTGCATAACACTAGGGCATCACCTCCCATATAAACATGAGCCCTCACACAGACAAGGGCACTCACAAACATGTATAAATCACAGCCTATATAATGTGGGTCTGTGTGTTGGTGGATGTTTACTAGGAGAAACTGCACAAGAAAAATGAGCAAAGGCTATGTGCACTTGTGGGAACTGTGTCAGTAATCTGCCTTGATGTAGCACACACATGAAAATCTAAGCAGCTCAGTGCCACTGGGATGTTTACTTCTGAATCCATAAAGGGAAGAATAAATCAGATTGTTTCATACCGAACATGTAATTAACAGTTTTTTTTCTTTTAACTTACTCCCATCAAGTTTTTAGTCCCTTGTGCTCAACACCCAAACTGCCCTCTGTGTTGCTAAGATATGGTCCTCATTTACTTTACACTTACATCAGTATTCCTAGACCATCATTCCTCTCCTCTTCCAACACTAATGTGAATCTCTTGGCTGTCCTCCTCTCTGGCTGCTTAGTCTTAGCACAGGATTTTAAATTCAAATATTATTTATTAAGCATTTAATTTACTATTCACTCATACTGGGCACTACTCCAGGTACTGATACAATCTTCTGATTTCTTTCCACCCATGTTGGCAACTCCCAGATGCAATATTTCCAGTTTGGACCAACTGCAGAAACACACAGACTACAAGTTTATAGAGCTGTATAGAGTACTCCAAAACTACAATGTCTGAAACCTGTTTCCTCTTTCACTTTCCTGCCTTGCTTTGCTCATGTCAAATGCTTGGAGTCTGGTCTCTGATAAATTGCTGGTTGTCAGTAAACCTCTCCTTGACTATACTATTGTCTTCAAGGATGTGTGTTAAATTTTTAGCTTTATAGGTCAGTACAAGAGCTATACTGTTACTGTGATTGAGTAAAGAAGCCAATGAATTTAGAAAAAAGAAGCTTTTATTGTGACTTTTAAAAAAAAACATGGTGCTGCGATGAGAAAAGACCCTGAAGACGGAGTTTTGTTCATGAAGGGTGGTGAGTGAGCAGGAGAGCAGCTGGGGCAGTGCTTCATTTCTGTTGAGACAGCAGCAGTGTTTGGGAGAAGGATATGTAAGAAGGTAAGGCAACAGGGCTCCTCATCCCCTTACACAGAATAGGCCCGCTTCAGCAGCTCCTGTAAGTGCTCACTCTGCTTTGCTATGCATGCTCACTTGACATCACAGTATATCTTCTTCAGTTCTCTAGTGCCCTCCTCCACATACAGCACAGAAGCGTTCAGCCATGGGCCCTGACACTAAGCTCAGCCTTGGCTAGCCCTGGAAACCCACACCATCTCTCACCATCACTCTGCCTACAGTGCACAACTAACAACTTCCACCAACATAAGCTCCTACAGGACAAGTCCAAATGACCTTGAACACGGAGTCTCAACTTTCATCTTCACTGTTTGGTAACCTCTTACAAAGAATAGGAGTTTTAGGAAGTCTACCTATGTCTTTCTACCTTGTGATCTGGATGTATATCTATGAAGATTTACAAGTGTCTGATCTTTGTTTATCTTATAATATCAAACATGAATATGGCCATGCCATGTCCCCTAAATCTTTCTAGGACTGAACTGTGAGTGGTGGTCTTGGGGACCCCAACACTCACATCTCACTACAAGTTTTGTATCTACAATCAAGGGCTAGCTTCATCCCTCCTGTGCTCTCTTTTAGATCATCACTACGCAGAGACTTTATTAGGAATAGGCATTAAAATGAAGCCGCCCACTCCCTCTCCTTCTTCCATACTCTTAAAATCTGACTGAGAATGTTATCATAGAGGGTGAGGTCTTATATAACCTTATATAACACAAGTCATGGTCCAAACACACAGATCAAACCATTACTTCTATTACCTTCTTTTAACCTTGAAGTTGGCCTGAGGCTGGGATGGGCCAGTGAGATTAAGGAGAGGGTTTCCACTCAAAATGTTTTCCATGCGAATTCTCTCTTCCTCTGCTTTTTGTTCTTGTTCCTGTCAATGACAGAGGAAGACACAATGTTACTAACTCCAGGTCAACTGTCTTATAGTAGTCCACAAAGGAACACCAGGGAGAAAAGATAGTTTTCTTTCTCTTTCTTTCCTTTCTCTCTCTCTCTCTTTTTGAGCTAGGGTCTGCTGTAGTCTAAGCTTGCATGGAACTTGTGAGGTAGCAGAGGATGGCCATGAACTTCTGATCCACTTTGAGTGCACTGCAAGTGTGCATAACCATGCCCAGGTTTTCAGTGCTAGGGATGGGATCCAGGCTTGGTGCATGCTAGAAAAGCACTTTACCAACTCACTCACTACTTTTTCTGATTCTTAATAAATACCAGAAAAACCTAATTTATAAGAATTAAGTACTCTGCCATTATTATAAATATCTCATGCTTGGCTGTAGAGATGGCTCAGAAGTTAAGAGCACTGGCTGCTCTTCCAGAGGTCAGGAGTTGAATTCCCAGTAGCCACAACTATCTATAATTAGATCTGGTGCTCTCTTACGGCATTCAGGTCTACATGCAGACAGAACATTGTATATATAATAAACAAATAAATCTTAAATATCCTTGCCAACATAGCCATTAGTCTTTCTAAACTGTGAGAAGCTGAGATGGTTATACAGATTAACTTAAGCACATAATAAACATTTATAATTTATCCAAGAACAGTTTAGCAAGGCTATTACCCCACTTAAAAAAAAATAATTAATTTAATTTAATTTTATGTGCATTAGTGTGAAGATGTCAGATTCCTTGGAATTGGCATTACAGACAGTTGTGAGCTGCTATGTGGGTGCTGGGAATTGAACCTGGGTCCTTTGGAAGAACAGTGTCCTTAACCATTGAGCCATCTCTCCAGCCCTCACCTCACTTTTTAAAGGGCTAAAGAGAACAGACTTAATTTTGAATTACTAATCATGTAAGATTCCATCTCTAGGATTGATTAGTTATTAACTAAGGAATAATTCCTAAGACAGGACAAACTATCATATAAAAGACAACTCAATTCTAGTTACACATACTTCTATTAATTTTCATAAACATACCTTTTGATCTTATGCTTTACTTTTAGTGATCTATTCTTCCTTCCTTTTCTCCTCAAGACAAGGTTTCTCTTGGCTGTCCTAGACTCCCTGTATAGACCAGGCTGGCTTAGAACTCTCAGAGCTCCACCTGCCTCTGCCTGAGAGCTGGGATTATCATACTTTTCATATATGCTTTCTTCACGGTTACAATACTGTCTTTATTTCTGATAAGTATTTTTGTATTTAGTGTGAGTATGGAGGAGAAGGGACACTTTCAGGGATCTGTTCTCTCTTCATGTGGTTTCCATTTCTCACCCTGCATGTTGTTTTAAAGACATAAGCTTTCACTACTAGCTCAGTTTGGTCTCAGACACTGTGTGTTGGAGTTACAGGTGTGAGCTATCACATCTCCTTCATTTCCTCACTTCTATTTAGCATCAAATTCTTCAAACTAAGTCATTCCGTTTCATTTGAAGAATCAGAAACAAAATCTCTCAAATTCTTACCTGTTATTTTTCAGAATTATCTATTAACATAACTTAAATCAAATATCAATCCTACTTTGCTGTGCTTTGGAGATGACAGAAATCAATGAATGACTTAATAAATAAAGAAAAAAGAGACTCTCTAAAAGTCACTTTAAAATGAGCCTAATTTTCCATATACTTCCAGATACTTAATTTTAATATGTAAATGTGAACAATGGGTTTCACTTTTACCATAACAAGTAACTGGCAGGTTGTGGGGAAAATCTTTTAGATTACTGCAGAGACCTTAAAGTCAGGAACTGTCTATTACAATTAAGATCAAAAAGCTTTCTAAAAATGATATGCTTACTGTGGCAGGGCAGGGAGCACCGAGATGGCTCAGCAAGTAAAGGTGCTTGTCATGAAGCCTGACAACCTGACTTCAACCCACACCATGGAAATTGGGAATTCCTGAAAGCTGTCCTCTGACCTCCATGCATACATGTGCCCACCCCCTAATCCAGCAAAAATAAATAAAATGTACAAAACAGCTGTTTCCAAAGATGCCACAAAAAAGGAAGCAAGCATACAATGTACTCACACTTAACACACAGCACTGGAGAAAAGACAACTCTGTCCCTACTCAAATACCAGGCTTGTAGGCTAATGTTCAGACAGCCTGTAGGTCAAATCCACACTCCCTCCCCAAGACTTGAGAATCAGGCTTTTGGGAACGTGGCCACTCCTGCACTCTAACAGCAGAGGCGCAGCTACAACACAGCTGGGTCACTAGTCAACGAAGGACGTTTCATTGCAGCCTCAAACCTTTTCCAATCTTTCTACCTATACCAAAAGAAGTCAATGAATCCCGCTGGAATCAAGGAACATGAATCCTTTGGAACAAAACCCTGATTTCCTTAGCACTGCTTTACAGACCCAACACTCTACACCCTCTACAGCCATCTCACTCTGTAGCCCAGGCTGGCCTCAAACTTGAAAGCCTGCCTGAGCTGTCAGTGTTGGGATCTAGCTTAGGCTCCTGATGCTTTAAGTTGGAAGTTATTTTCTCCCATTGTATAGGTAAAGAGACTGGATATTCAAACTAGTTAGGTAACTTTACCTGCATTGTATGAAACCTATTATTATTTTTTTTTGAGACACAAATATCTCAAACTTGGCAGGAGATAAGAGAATCTTTGTAGATCATGTAGAACAGTGATTCTTAGCCTGTGGATGGCGACCCCTTCGGGAGTCAAACGACCCTTTCACAGGTTCGCCTAAGACCATCAAAAAACACAGGTATTTCCATTAGAATTCATAATGTAGCAACAGTGCAATTATGAAATAGCAAATAAATAATTTTATGGTTGGGGATCACCACAACATGGGGAACTCTATTAAAGGGGCACAGCATTAGGAAGGTTGAGAGCCACTGTTCTAGACTATCTTCAACGTTTAATTAGAAGACTAAATGGTCACTCATTTGCTTTTCAACAAGTTGAGCATTACTCATTTCTGAATGATCTGAAATTTCAACATAATCAGGCAACTTGGATTGTCACTTAAAAAAAGCCAGATCTATAGGTGTTACAGTATGTAGAGGTGGTGCTTCCTAATAAACGGTAACAGCAGAGTTAAGAAGAATTCTGGCTTCGAATGTGTGGCCCTGAGATGTGAATACCAAACATTACCTTCCTGGCCTGCTCTTCAGCTCTCTCCTTCTTGATTTTTTCCAGCTCTGCAAGAAGAGCCGCAGTATCATCGTCATCACTCTCCTCTTCAAAATCCTCATCTTCCTCCTATGACAGGTCAAGGCGACACAGGACATTACAAAGAAAATATACATTATCTACCTTTCTCATAAAAAAAAAAACTGTATTCAACAAATCTTTGAAACAGAATTTTCCTAATGAGAAAAGTGCCTAAATATCATAGCTAAAACCAATAACCAATAAAAAAATACGAAATATAATCCAATAAAAATTTATGAATGCTTACTAAAATGTCAACCCCCAATAAAGTACCTTTCATATTTACATGGTCAAAAAGGATTTTCACATGGTAACATTTCAAAACAAAACACAGTGGCATGTACAGTGTCTCACTCCAAAAGAGTTAATGTTTCATGTAGCTCAAAATGACTAAGTTAGCAAGGAAGGACAAATGTGCAAAACAGTGCGAACATTCCAAAAGTATTTTGAATGAATAACTGAATTTTACTTAATGTAAGGCTTATTTTAATAACTCTATCAGTTGGTTCTGTAATTGCTGACATATATGCAATTAGTTACTACTTAAGAAAGGTCACTCATCTATGTTCAGTTATATAGACAATGGCAAATTGAAGTCAGGACTCAGGTGCAATAAACCATGTTTGTACACCCAGCATTGAGGGGACTGAAGCATGAGGCAGGAAGGTGGTTTGTGAAGGTCACGCACAATCTTCTTAGATTACTTGTCTCCCTCTTCACAAAGGGGTCTATGAGCATTATGTGTCTAAAAAGGGCATCATATCGAAGGAAAACAAAGGGCAGAACTGCGTAGACCGCTCAAAGGTGCTGTTCATAGGGCACTCAGCCCGAGTGTCCCATGTAGTTAAGGCAGCTTAAGCTCCTGCACTGCTGACAAATCCGTCAGGGACAGGCACATCCTTTCTCAGACTGTTTCCACACAGACCTCCAGATTAAATCTGTCCTAAAAGTCTTTACACGAAAGAATATTTTCTGTTTTAAAAACAATTATAAACTTTAAAGTTGAGGCCAGTGTCTATTTCAATAATAGTAGGTAAAAATAAATTTAGATGATTTCACAAAGCCAAAATATAAAATAGTTCAGGAAAATATGAAAAGCTGGGCCCAACGGCAGCGGTCCAGAATTCCAACACTTAGGCTTAAAAACAAAAATAAACAAAAACCCAAACCCAAAACTAAAATACATACATCCGTGAGAGGATCATCAGCATCAAGGTTGGCAGCAGGAATCTGGTCTAAACGGGGCTTCTTTGACACTGAAGAGGAAGTCGTATGTTCTGGAGAAAACAAACATTTAACATATTCAAAAACATGCTGCATTTAAATAACAGTTTAGAAACCTCTGGGCAAAAAGAATCCACACAAAACACAGTGACAGCAGGTCACCCGGTGACTGGCAGATAACTCTTTGATAAATATTTGTTGGTAAACAGTAAAAGAATTAATGAGTATGCAGATTGCAGCATTTCAGGAAACCTAGGCAATGTTCACACATACTAGAAACACAATAAAGTAAGTGATGCTTCTCTCAAAACTCTGTAATTACATGGGCAAGTTCCAGACAGAAGGTTTCAGTGCCAGCTCCAATAAAGCCAGTATAGTGACAGGAATTGAAATGATGGGTTTTTAACACTCCAAGTCACCATTTCTTCCAATATGAATGCATGAGAAGATGGGATTGGAATGAACCTCATTATCACTGCTAATCAAAAAGGTGTTGTTCACAAAAACATTAATTCCAATTGCCAGGATACAAACAATTTCTACCACATAATTTTGAAATAAAATCGTGGGACAGTGTAGGTACCTCGGGTTGGACGGTCCCTATTTTTTTCCCTTGCAGCAGCTCTCTCTCTCTCTTCCAACTCTCTCCTGAAGTCACGGTTTCGAACCTCTTCGGGGGCATCCTGTGTAGTTTGTCTTAAGTAGAAAGAATCCAGGTCAAAATGTTACTCTCACTTGTCAAGGAAAAGGACTTATACGGCTACAGCAACTTAAAGACTATTCAGAATACAACTCTCTCAAGCATAAAGTGGAAGAGGACAAGATAATATCCTAATCTGAAGGTTACTTATTAGTAATTTGGAATGTTCAGGAACAAACTGAAGCACGTATTTTCCTACAGTATGGCTGCAGAGTGATTATAGTGGTTTTGGCTTAAAAAAAAAAAAACATTACATAAACTCAAGGGTTGTTACAGTAACATTTCCATATTCACTATAGCTCAATAATCTCTGAGGTGATTATCATGACTACTGAGTGCTTCATCTACACACTGGAATTCCTGGTTAACAAGGATTATCCTGAAAGAATGTCTAGTAAAACTTTGTAACTATAGCACATAACTTTATTGTAAACTCTTGATTTCCTTTTCTTGGAAGATAGGTAACTGAAATACTATATTTTGGACATGATCATAAGTCATGCAGGTTTGGTCCCATCCTGTGAACAACAAATAAATAAAAGGCCTTATTACCTGTATTTTATCTTTGTATGAGAGGGAAGGTCTCTGCTTGAATACTGCTTCGAGAGCTGGCTCAAATCCCCTTCTCCTTTTCCTCTTCCACCTCTTGCAGGTTCAAAAGTTGGTCTCGCTGCTGTTGTCATCTTTTATTCTCTGACAAAAGTGAATTTAAGTTATACTCAGAACTCTCATTTTAGAAATCATTCATAAATATCTATCCTTGTGAAAAATTCTCAAAACTCTCCCCCAAAATGGTTAAGTAGTTTGATTCAAAACAAGTTTTTAAAAATGCAGAATCATGAAACCCAGGGTGTACACTAGATGTGCCTGCCAGTCAGCTCCAATTTATTATAAATAAGTACTGTGAAGATCTGAGTTCGTGCTTTTGTTCCAGCTGGGTAGCCTTGGGCAGGTGTCCTAGCTTGTTTTCATCATCTGTGGAATGCTGATATTTCTACAGTACCATGAGAATTCTGACTCGTGATGTTAGCTCTTGTACTACAGCATGGTTTTTAAATTAAATGATTTCAGAATTGTTATTCCATTAGCCCTGAGTTGTTTTTTTTTTTTTTTTTTTTTTTTTTTTTTGAGATTTGGTTTTTCTTTTCTTTTAATGATAGGGTCTCACATGATGTAGCTCTGGCTGACCTAGAACCCTCCAGAGATCTACCAGACTCTGCTCCTGTAGTGCTAGAATTAAAGGTGTGTACCACGTCCTACCAAGATTCTCATTTTTATGAGAAATCTAACACAATAGCAAATAGCTCAATAAAAAGCAATTTCTTTTACAGTCACCGACAACCTTAATGAGTGTCTTGGAGTGAGTTTGTTTAAAACCCAATGACATTTACACAGGCAATACTACCCAAAAATCTTGTTGATCCAATTTTTCTTCTACAGCAGTTAAGACCTTTGGTAAGCTGTAACTTAAGCGATGCTCAGAAAATCGGAACTCCGCCCTAGAAAAACATCAAAAACCCATCCTGAACTGAGCTTGGTGGGGTACTTCCGTGATCCTAGAGTTTGGGAGGTGAAAGGAGGAGAATCGGGAGTTCGAACCTAGATTGTCGCTACAGAAACAAGAGGACCTTTTGCCATTTCAGCTTTGAGCTGTCAAACAAGAATTCCAGACTAACTATAGGGCTACTAAATCTGTGTTAGCTTAAGCTGCATGCTCAGAGAGTGAGGGAAGTGGGAGTTTCTCTCCCATCCCGCCCTCCCTCGCTCTTCTCTGCATTCGCTCCGCCGCGCCGGTGACCGCCCCGGGCTCGGCTGCAGCTCCCGACCGCCATCACAGCTCGCGGCGGCTATCCCGGCTCCCAGAGGCCAACAAGACCACAAACTGCCATGCCCCGCTGCTCACCCTGGAGGTCCGACGCAGCACCTTCGGAAGCTCACTCACGAACCATCGCGACCCTTAGCTCCCAGAAACCACCGCGCCGGGGGCGCCAGCCCAAGACCGGAAACAAAAATGCTCTGCTTCCAGCCTCTTAGCAGGGGCTGGGTTGGAACCCGGAAGCAAAACCTTCGCGCTTCCAACGGCCTCGTAGGAGGGCCGAACCCTACACCCGGAAGTAAATCCTGACTGTATAAAAAAAAAAAAAAAAAAAAAAAAATATATATATATATATATATATATATATATTTTTTTTCTTTTAAAACCGTCTCTCAGAGGCTGACGCGGCGACCAATCCTCGGAGACCCAGGAGGAAGTTGGTGTGACGTTGTCGGGGGGCGGAGCCAGAACTGCTCAGGGGGCGGGCGTTTGAAACCGGTGCTTCGGCGTCGACCCTCAGTTTCATGTTGTGCGTTTGACAACCGATTACTTAAATCTCTTGCGTCTTTTCCTTCCCCGACCCCCTCCCAGCCTCTTCGCTGCGGTTCTGCGAGGACGGAAGGCGCCAGGGAGCCGGTCCGCGTCCCTCACGCGTGAGATCTGAGGAGAGCATGCCACCTGACCGACCCAACGGCTCCTGCTCCTCAGTAGAGCCCGCAGCCTAGGGACTAGAGTTGTCACTTAAGTGGATATGAAGAAGGCGCAAATAAGTACGGGGGCAGCCACGAGCTTTCTAAAGGTACCATTCATGCGGAACCACTAGCCTTGGAGGCAGGGGTTGTCGCATTGCTTGTTAAGATGTATAACTATATATAGCTGTGTGCATTAAGCGTTGTGAGGGGAGAGGCCGTGAGCGTGTACCGTAGAGAACGTTTAGAGAACAGTGGGCCTATTTGCCAGGAGGAGCAGGAGATGGAATTTAAGATGGCTTCGCCAACGTTGTCTTGGTGTCCCATCTTTGAGAGCTTGGGGACGGCAAAGGCTCAATAAAGAGGATTCTGTTCTCCAGTTTGTCTGAAGTGGAAAGACCTAAAATTGAGCATTTTAATGCCTTTCCATCTTTCCTTTGGAACTTTTAAATGAAGAGAATTAGAAAAGATTCTGACTACCCAAATGCAGTCCCCCCACCCCGTGAAGTAGAAGGTGAAAAGTTTGATTTTTATTTTTTTCCTTATCGAAGCTATATACCTTTCTCAGCCTCACACAAAGGACCCTGCCATCATATTAGTGACCCAAGATCTCTTCCTTCCCTCTTCACTTGCCATTCTCGTTCAGTATTATGAAGATTATCCTGAAGTTCATGTCCACTGTCATTTTCTCTTGGATTTGCAATTGTTTCCAATGGACTTTCCTACAGTTTTGCACAGAACAAAGTGATCTTTTAAAATTACCAGATAGTACTTTTGACACTTAGGCTAAAACAGCCTCTTGTCTTAACTTGAGGCTCTCTCCCTTTCACACTCTGTCTCCTGCCTGCCGTCCTGACTTTAGTCCATCAGAGGCTCTGGATACACTCAACTGGACATTTCTGTGTCTCAGAACAAGGGCAGGATTTCATTGTTTCTTTTGAGTTTTGAGACAAGGTCTTTTGTGACTTTGAACTTAAGTTCTATGTATCCTGCACTGACCATCCTCCTGCCTCAACCTCCTGAGTGCAGGCATACATTCTTCTTTTATAAAGTCTTGCACTATGTTCTTCACCTCTGCCCAAAGACAGCTGTAACTCCATTTTTTTAGGTCTTAGCTCAGTTCTACTTCCTCAGTGGGGTTTCCTCTGACATCTACACTATGCCCTACTCCCATGCAAAAATGTCTTTATAGCACCCAGTTCTATACTTCCATAACGCTGAACTCTAGCTGGGTTTACTGTTGGTTTACATTACCTCATGTACACTTTTCTTTTTGGTCTGAGGCAGATTATTGAGACCAAGTGTCTGCTATTTTTTTCTTTGTTTTTTTTGTTCTGTATGTTTTTTTAAGACAGGGTTTCTCTGTGTAGCCTATGTTGTCCTGGACTTGTTTTGTAGACAAGGCTGGCCAGAACTTAACACTGAATCTACGCCTCTGCCTCCCTGAGTGCTGGGATTAAAAGCGTGTGCCACCATACTGAGTTAAGTATCTTGCCTCTATCCCCTATTTTGCCCTCCCTAGTTGTGTACAGTTGGGTAAATTATTTTTCCTCTCCTTCCCTCCATCCTGTGTGCAAAAGTAGTGGTAATTCTTATTGTTGCTGTGGTGATTATATAACTGTAAAGTGCTGAGAACTACCTTAGCAAGCAGATTCGCTGAATCAGTATTGCCTGTTACTATTGTCTGACTAACTATTAGAACCTAAATTCCAGTAAAGCAGGAACCCTGTCCGTTTATTCATTGGTGTCCTCTCATATAGAGCAGTACATGGTGCAGAATAGGTGCTGAGTAAGTAGTAGTGAAATGGATGAACAGCATGTTATAAAATAAAGGAATGCAATCTCAGTGGCAAGGTGGTGGCAGAAGAGCCCAGTTTTTTGTTCCAGCTGCCTTTATCAACCCTTAGTAAGTCATCCCAGTCCATTTAACCTTCTACTAATTAAAACCCGATGATTCCATTACAGCTTAGACAAAAAAAGTTCACAAAGGTAAAAGCATTTGATTATAATAGTCTGGAAGTGTTAATAAGAAAGGTAAAACAGACAAACAAAAAATTAAAGTACCTGCAATTACTAAGAAAATTATACCAGAAACCTTTTGGCTTAAACAGTGAAAACACATAAGAAAAAGAAATGAAGTTGGAAAGATTTCTGTATTAGTTAGGGTTCTCCTAAGGAACAGAGCTGATAGAGTGAATATATACTCAAGGGGATTTACTGGATTGACTTTCATGACACAGTACGGGTGTTGACATTGGAGAGATTGAGAAGTCAGTAGCCACACAGTCCAAAAATCTTCATGTCTCAGCAGTCTGAGTCAGTCCCATTCTGATGCTGAATGTGTAGGGGATTCCTTGAGAGCCACATTGAAGGCTGAAGAGGCCAGAGGCCCATGTTGGTGCCTCTCTCTATTGTTCTTCACCTTAGTTTTTAAAACAGTTTCTCACTAAGCCTCAAGCTATTGAATTAGGCTAGACTAGCCAGAAGCCCTGAAGAAGAGCCTCCTGTCTGCCTTTCCATCCCGGGGTGGCAGATGCTCTCTGACACTCTTAGCTTTTGTTGGGGATCAAAACTCAGGTCATCGTGTTTGAGCAGCAAGCACTTTACCAACAAAATCATCTCTCCAGTCTATATTAGATCATCTTTGAATTTGGGAAACTAGAGTCGCCTCTGCAAGGATCTCTTGCTCTGTCAGGTTGCTTTGCCTATGTCCTTATCTTAGCTTCTGGTCTGTCATTGGAGATGAGGTAAACCTATCTGGTTCCTGGTATTCTGGGTCCTATACCCAAAGCCTTCTTAATGACACGTGTCCTGTCTCTCTTTTTTTCTTGGAGACAGGGTTTCTATTTGTAGCCAAGGCTACACAAGTCCTGGACTTGCTTTGTAGACCAGGCTAGCCTTGAACTTGTAATCCAACTGCCTCTGCCTCCATGAGTGCTGGGACTAAAGGTGTGTGCCACGACGGCCGACTTGTCTCATACTCTTATAGATCATAAGAGCTTTATATGCACCTTCATTTTTTAATATGGCAAAGGTAGTGTTTTAGTGTGGTAAGATGTATGTAATAACTATGATTGCAAAATTGACTATATGGAGGAGAAAATATATAAATTCCAGCTTCAAAGGTTACAAAACAACAGCATCCAAAAGGAGTAAAAGAAATCTTCAAACCCTCAGAAGAAAACCTCAGGAACTATAGTACTTATTGTTTGAAGGACATTTAGATGAAGACAGACATCCTACGGCTTTAGAATTAAGCGATTTAAAAAAATCACTTTTGAGTTTAAATTTAAACTGGTGTGGTCCAAGGACCATACATGGCTATAATCTACAACCCCTGCTCAGACACAGCCCATAGTAGCTCAGTATCCGAATGGGTTCCCTAGTAAGGGGGGCAGGAATTGTTTCTGACATGAACTCATGAGCTTCCCCTCCTCCCTGAGGGAGGAGCAGCCTTGCTAGGCCACAGATAAGGACATTGCAACCATCCTGAAGATACCTGATAAGCTAGGGCCAGACAGAAGGAGAGGAGGACACCCCCTCTCAGTGGACTCGGAAGGGGGCAGGGAGGAGATGAGGGAGGGAGGGGAGGATTGGGAGGTAAAGAGGGAGAGGGCTACAGCTGGGATACAAGTGAATGTATAAAATTATTTAAAAATATTAAATAAATAAACTGGTGTGGTGATCCATACCTGTGATCCCAGTGCTTCAGAGGCTGAGTCGAGAACCTTGTCTTAGAAAGAAGAAAATCATGAGCCGGGCCTAGATGGCACATGACATCTATCCTAGCACTGTGGAGGCAGAGGCAGGCAGATGTGAGTTCAAGGCCAGCCTGATTTAGTAGTAAATTCCAGGAGAGCCTGGACTACATAGATACTTCGTCTCAAATAAGTAAGTTATTAGTAGGAGATGTGAACAGAGTCAACAGCTAAATGTCAGATTAGAAGACAAAAGTCTTTACCATATACTCAGTACTAGTCCTGTGAGTAATACATATAATGTTTAAAAAAAAAAAAAAAAAGGCAAACAACCCATAGAAACTGCAGAAAACGGGATTCCTACCACAATAGATAGTAAACATGGTGCTCCATGGTTAGGAGTGGATCCTGCTATTCTTGAGTACCCAAGTTCAGTTCCCCGCACCCGGGTCTGGTAGCTCACAACTGTCTGTAACTCCAGCACTAGGAGATCTCTCATCTTTTCCTTCAGTGGGTATCCACACACACATGGGCATACTCACACACAGATAGACACAAAATAGAGGGAGGCTTATCTCTGTGAGTTTGAGGCCAGCCTGGTCTACAGAGCAAGTTCCAGGACAGCCAGGGCTACACAGAGAAACCCTGACATGAAAATGAACCACCACCACCAATATATATATGTGTGTATACTTATGTGTATATGTATATATATAAAATATGGATGTATATAATGTGTATATAAAAATATCTTAAAGATATGACAACTTTTCAATGATCACATTATAATACTGTGTTCTCAGCAATTTATGAAAAAAAAAAACCATTTGGATGAGATTAAGAAAAAAAAAAACGTTTGGATGAGATTAAGAAAAAGGACACCTAGTCAGTGTAGTTGCATTGCATCGGCACCCCATTACCCTCCCAGGAAAAGACAAGCATTCATACAGTGGCCTTCAACGTTTTCCTTCTCCTAGTTGTTTTTTTTTTTTGCCTCTGAGGCTCATCCCTTATGCCGGAAGGCTTACATACCTTCTTGCTAAGACACAGCTACTTGTGCTGTAGGAGCTTTGCTTAGTGACCAGGAAAGGACTTAACTCCTTGCTCAAATGATGCCAGCCTGCTGTGACAGCCCTGGTTAAGGTTGCCACTGCTCTTCCTTTCTGTCCTTTAACATCCTGTAATCCTGTTTCCCATAATCGTCTCTCTTGTCTTTTTTTCTTTCTAAAATGGCATGTGTGTAGTCCTGTGTTGTATGTTAACATTACTGTTTGTCCACTGCTATGGAGAACAGTTAGAATATAAGTTCCATGAGGGCATGCTCAGTGCTATAGGCCAAACATTTAAAACAATGCTAAACACCAACATTTGCTTAGTAAAACTTTTCCAAGTGAAATGAATGAATGAATGAATGAATGAATGAATGAATGAATGAATGAATGGATGAATATATGAATGCGTGAACTTTAAAGGAAGAGATCATGTCCTGGTGTAAATGTTGTTTCCTTGTTTCGTATGTGTTTGTCTTTTGTGGTGTGTGTGAGGTGAGCAGCTCAGCGGTCTACTGCAGCACTAACCCTCAGTTTGAAAGAAAAAGGTAACCTGTCTTCTGCTCACCTGAGTCTGCATTTCAAAAGAAAACATACACAACCCAGAGGAAATAATTCCATTCAGAAGATAATCTCTCAAGTGAAAACTTGTGATGGTCAGGCTCTTTTATATATACCATCGAAATTCTAATTAGGCCAGCCTACCCCAATCCAACTAAAACTAATCAAGTCTCCTTCCATTTCTACCAATTGATTCATTTCCCCTCCTTCTACTAAAACCCATCGTCTATGACCCTGATAGCTCATAAAAGGAGAATTTTTTAAAAATTATTTCCATTTTTTTATGTGCATTGGTATTTTGCCTTGATGAATGTCTATGTGAGGGTGACAGATTTTGGAGTTACAGTTTTGAACTGCCATGTGGATGCTGGGAATTGAACCTGGGTCTTGGAGAACAGTCAGTACTCTTAACCACTGAGCCATCTCTCCAGCCCCACAAATTTTTTTCTTATGAAAGAAATGCATTCATGTCGCCACATGCTTAAATGTGAGCTAAAGATTATAGAGTTCAGGTTCTCTTGCTTGTCCCTTAAGCAATCTTATTGAATCATTTTCCCAGCCCCCCCCACAGATATTTTACTAAATGCCCATGAATTAATTTCTAAATTAAACTCCTTGTCAGCTTTGAACTTTATATATATAAGCGAATCTTTTTTTTTTTTTTGCCTTCCCACTTAATGCGTGTTGTGTGTAGCTGTGTGGAATTTAACTGTAAGAATGTACTCTGTAAATCTAACAGTTATGTTTCTGTTACAGTGATATTTACAAATAAGGCTACTACAGATATTGTAGATGTGCAGAGGAGCATGCAACGTGCATTTCATATGACCCACATCAGCCGCGGGGAGAGCTCTCCTTGTGGAATCTCACCATGCCTGATGCTGTCCAGCATCTCAGCTTCATCTGACCTGGCAGTGGGTAGTGACCTGTCATTGATGTCTTGACTGTGTCCCTTGATGTCTAATTCCTGTTTATTATCTACCTGGATTTATTTGTGTGTGTGTGTATGTGTGTCAGTTACTTTCCTATTGAATTGTCTTTTACATACAGGTTTCTTACTATTTTGGGTAGTAACTCCTACTACTTACTTATGCTGCACATAGCTACGTCTTAGCTTCTCATTTGAAAATATCTGATACTGATTTTGATATATGGAAATTTTCATTTGGGGCTAGTTCAACATATCAGTCTTTTTTCTTACATACATGCGATTTTGTTTGTTTTACTTCAGAATGTTCTTACTTTGAACTCATTCTGATATTCTCTGTTCATAGGCCTGTCTCAGGCCTCCAGGTATTCATTTTACTGTGATGTGATGGTGGTGGTTTGACATGTAGTTGAACAATTCTTGCTCCTCTTCCTCCCTTGTAAGTCTTTTTATCCTTTGTATATTCAGGAGCCAACTGTCAAGTTCAATACACGTGGAATTTTAACTGAAATAACATTACATTTCAAATTTAAGAACTGATGTTTTTACAGTACTGAGTCTTTAGATTTAGGAAAGAAGTATATATATATATATATATATATATATATATATATATATATATATATATATTTTATTTGTTTAGGTCATCTTTGTTTTTGAAAGCATGTCAGTATACTGCTTCTCTGAGTATATTTACATTACTGCCTCAGAAGCCTCATGAACTCTTGCTGGCTTTAGGTTTCATTAATAGATAATAGTTAATGTTGTTGTCAGTGATATCATTTGGATCATTTGTAACTGATGTACATAAGTATAACTGATTTTTGCATATACCTATTTTAAATTCAGAGAACTCTCCAAGTGGTTTACTCTGAATATTTGTATCTACATATCACCAGCCAATAATATTAATGTCGTGTTTTTTTTTGTTTGTTTGTTTGTTTGTTTGTTTTTTCCAGTATCTTCGCTCTTTGTTCCCCTTTTTTTTCTTTGACTTGTGTTGGTAGAACTTCCAGGACAATGTTGAATAAAAATTCTGATCCCAGGCGTCCTTGTTTTTTTCTTGATCTGCAAGATAAAACTTTTAACTTACTACTAAGTACAATTTGATGGTTTACAATGATATATCTTATGGTATCTTTCTTACTATTTTAGATTGCTGAAAAAATTTTAAAATGTCATATATTTGACTCAATAGAAGGTTTTATTACAATACTTCCATATGTATATATAATGTATTTTGGTCACATTCATACCTCTTCCCCTCTTACTGATTTCATTTCCTCTTCCTGACTATTTCCTTTTCTACTTTAACATCTCTTGTTTACTTATGTTATTTTGTGACCCAATGAGTTTCATTAGGGTTGCTTACAGGAGCATGGGCATCTTTCCAGTGGCTGTACCACTGAAGAAAATGCCTTCTTTCGCCTGGAAATCATTACCCATAGATCTTCAGAGACATTTGGGTAGTGTGAGTTCCTCCCTGTTTTCTGGCAGGATGTTGACAGATCTAATCTTATGTAGTCCAGCACAGGTTATCACAGTTCAAGAGGGAAAGCGTCATGTCATTCCTGAAGATTATTCTTCAACACTCTGTCACTTGCTTGGACATTTCCATTCTTCCTGCCCCTTACCATGTTTTCTGAGCTTGGAAGGGGTGATAAAAGTGTCCCATCTAGAGTTGATCATCCAACAGCCATTTACTCTCAGCTTTGGACTAGTCATGAGTCTCTGCAGTTACTGCTGCTTACTTCAAAAGGAAGCTTCTTTGACCAAAGGTTGAGCAGTGCTAGTCTATACGTGCAAGCATAATTTTTAAAATGAATTTATCAAATGCTTTATGGACATTTGAGATTTCCTTTCAGTGTGTGTAGACTTATTTTAAGTTTTACCTAGTCATTTATTGCTGTACTAAGCCATCACTGCACATAGTCCTAGAGACAGTGTGCTCATACTTTATTTAGAATGTTTGTGTCAGTGTTCAAAAGGGACATTAACTGTTTTCCTTTCTCCTAGTGTCCTTAGTATTTGTATAATAGAATCGAGGAAGCATACTTTCTGTTCTCTGGGAAAATTTGCCCAAGATTGGAATCACATTTTTTTTTTTTTTAATGGTTGGTAAAATTCCCTAGTATAGCCATATTGAGTTTGGAATTTTTTTCTAAGAGTTTGGCTGCTACCTGAATTTCTTTAATAGTTGTGAATATCATTAATTTTCTCGTTTTCTATCTGTTATAATTTTCTAGAAATCTATTACCTTATTTTCAAAAATATTTTAGTATAAAATTATCCATACTCTTGTTTTTTTTTTTCCTGTTTTCTCTTTTTACTTTTGTTTTCACTTCTTTTGTGCCACCAGCCTTTACAATAATGACCTCTGTCTTACCAGAGCTGGCTATTTGTATCTTTTATTTTTGTTCTTCATCATTTCCACTGAAGGTTTTTCAAGTTTATTAAAATTCTCAGAAGTTTCTCTGTACTCTAATTTATGTTGTTTTTATATTTCATCAATTTCTGATCTTATTTTTAGTTCCTTAAAAAAACTTTTGGAAAATTTATTTTTAGATAAATGCTTACCTAGTTCATATAATTTTCTAGCCTCTTGCCTTACCTGTTTCTTTAAGGTTTTCAATTTTTCTTTAATATTATTTACCAGCATACAACAGATTTGAAAAGTGGTATTTTCATTCTCATTTAATGTTTTACTTCATTCTTATTAAGGGTTTATTTTAAAATGTATTTTCAGCTTAATAAATTTAGAAGTTTCTAGTTTTTTTGTCATTAAGATTCTTGTTTATGCTGTCATCCCTGGGTTCTTTTATATTTAAAAGGGACTTAGATTAGGTGATAAGTGGGATACGATAATATGAAAGTTTAGAGCAACTCTTAATACAATATGTAATGAGTACAGAATTTTTACTATGTCAGGTAACATTTAGCATTTCACTACAGAATGTGTCTAGTTACCAAGAATTTTGCTGTGTCACGTTCCAAAGCAAAAGAGAATAATAACTATGAACAATAGAAATATAATAATATATATGAAATATTCTAGACTTAATAGTTAATAAAAAAGAGAACTAATAAAAAAATGACATTAAGAAAGGAATGTAAAATCAAGAAATGATGAGAAGAGTTTCTATTGTGCGCATGCTCGCACACCCTCACCCACACACAAAAATAAATCCCTAGGTTTCTTAGAGTGTAAGGAAACATGTTACTTTCATGACTAAAATACTGTTGAAGTACATCAAAATATGAATAAATACCAGATAATAAGTAAGAATGCTCAATTAAAGAGCTGAACAAAATCTACAATATTTTTGTTATTTCGGTGTAGTACTAATTCACATCAGCAGGAGTGAATTGAATTTACTCTAGGAAGAATGCTCAAGTATAACTATAAATCTAACCAAGTTTTGAAAAGGAGATGAGTATGGATGGTGAGATTTTATGTGCCAACTCTCAGCGCTAAATATTACAGAAATTAAAAACAGGGTAGCCACAGAGATATGTACAAAAGAAGGAGCGGAAGAAAAATTTAGCAAAGAAACAAAGCAAAAGAAAATGCTAAGAACAGAAAAAAATTTTTTTTTTCTCTAAGTACAGTGTTTTATCTGTGTGGAAAACAAAACAAAAACAAAAAAGGTGCACACACACACACACACACACACACACACACAAATGGGCATGTAGATCAATGTAATGGAAAATTTAAGAACAACAAAATCCCTTGACATTAACTTACATAGCTAAGCCCCATGTTTTTTTGTTTGTTTGTTTGTTTTGTTTTGTTTTCACAAGTGGTAAAAATAATCATTGGAGAAAAGACATGTTCAACAATGTACTGGGATAACTGGATTTCCATATTTAGAGGAAACCAGATCCTTATCTCTCACCTTCCCTATTAATCAGCTGTATGTGGATTGAAATCCATACTGTAAGACCCCAAAATCTGACGACATTAGAAAAAAAAAAGAATAGGTAAAGACTTTCTGAAAGGGACTCCAGTAGCTCAGGAAATAAGGACAATTAATTATCAGCAAATGGAATCTGAAGAAATTAAAAGGCTTCTTCCATATAGCAAAATTAGTAATCGAAAAGGCAGCCTGCAGAGTGAGATGAAAGCCACCAGCTGTACCTGGCAGAGCATGAACACCAGAGCACACAACAGCAACATGCTTAGCAGCCTTAGCCATCTGGAAAATGCAGATTAAAACTGCTCAGAGTCCATCTCGCCCCATGTCAGAGCAGCTATCAAGAAAGTGACCAAAATGCTGGAGATGATTGAAAGAAAGGAATCTTCATTCACTGTTGATGGGAATGCAAACTGACATGATCACTATGGAAATTAGTATGAAGATTTTTTTTTCCAAGATCTAAAAATAGAACTTCTATGTGACACAGCTATTCCATCTCTGGGCACTAAAAGAACTGAGTGCCCTGTTAAAAATATACCTGTTCATCCATGGTCATGGCTGCTAGAAAAAGGAATTGCTAGGAAAACAAATCAACCTACATGTCCATCATTAGATGAATTAATGAGAATATGGGACATACACACATTGGGATTTTCAACCATAAAGGAAAATGAAATTAAGGAGTTGACAGGAAAATGGATAGAACTGGAAAATATATTAAGTAACCCAGGCCCAGAAAGACAAACACATATTCTCATATATGGATCTTAGCTTCAAATCTTGAATTTATGTGTATTTACATAGTAGTCAGAGAGCAAAGATGTCAGAAAAGTAGAAAGAGGCCCATGAGAAGCAAAAATTACTTCCAGCAGAAAATTACCCCATAATTAAATCTCAGTTACATACCCAAAACCTAAAAGTTATGATTAGTTGTATTAGCATCTGACCATTTATGGTAATTTCAAATTCTGGATTGTGTTCTATTAGCTATTGCTGTCCAAATTTAACTGCCAGATGTATTTCCTCTTCTGATTTCCACTGGGAAAAATAAGTAAATAAGATATATTTGTGGCCTCAAGAAGGAAGACTAGTAAGCAAGACATACATTTAATTTTTTTCAAAATATGCATGACCTATAATTTAAATAGAGATTGTGGGTCAGTAGTAAGCTATTTGTGAAAATATAATGGTCAGAATTCGTTCCAAACATTGAAAGTTTACAAGTTAACAAGAAAAGCAGTTCAACTGGACAACTGACTTTAGAAAATTAACTACCATCATAATTAACAGAACTGAAACTTGGAAAATGGTAGTAAATCAACAATAATGAGATAAGTCAATCAAATTGTCAAGAGTCCACGAAGCTGACTAGCAAGTGCATCTTGAGGAATGAAGAAACAGAAGTGACCGGTTCTGTTGGTTGGCATGTTTTTAGGGTGACCAGGTAGACCACATTGACACTGATGTTCACAGATTCAGTGGAGCATACCCCAAAGCCCTCACAATCTGCAGATTTTCAGCAAAAGTTTCAGGACAACTCAAGGAAAAGAATAGAGAATATTCACTTTCAAAAGAATGAATTTGGATTTCTACACAAAAATTAATTTCAATTAAG